CGACAGCATTTCTATTATACCTGAGTGATTGACAATATTTTTTAAACTTAGTTTATTGTTCTCCACTTGTGATATTAAGTAAATTTGCTGACAAATATGTACAAATTGCTTAATGCACCTAGTATAAACGGCTGTAGATTTAGAAGATTCGTTTAAGAAAACACGCTGAATCAAACAAAATTGTTGCATGTCACAGGTATTCATTAAAATCTGGCGTAAATATTACAGTATGAGATCAAAACTTGCAGTTTTGCGAACGAAATTTGATTCAAACGAGGAATAAACACGTTTTTAGCTGATACTTTTAGTCAAATTTAAGCATGTGGAATTGCAATATCAGGAGAAGCACAATGACTTCTGAAAAGTTTGTCAAAATCCAGAATATCAGAACAATTTTTATGAATTTAAAGCACGATTGGTACTAGAAAAATTAAAAATAGTGCAGTTATCTGGACCTCATGCAAAAGCAAGACCATTCAAGAATCTCTAAGGAATATTCAGCGAGTCTTAGATAAGGCCGGTAATTTAAAAATAGCTTTAAAATAACCTGGGCATTGATACACAAGCGGAGGGACGGAAGTGTAATGATAGACGAAGGTAGAAAGATGTGTTGTGAAAGCACACTTATGTACAATGACTAAACTGTTATGAAAGTAGTGTCTTTTACGGAAAAGTATCACAAAAAGGGGATTTTGAACGCACCCACAGGCAAAGGTGGTCTTGCCGTACTCGAGGATGCCGTTGTAGAGTTGGACTGGACAGAAGTTTTGCCACCTACTCAGCTGCCAGGGCGAGTGCTTAGTGGGCATCTTTCGGACAGCCAGCTTAGCCACAATCTTGTCCAGTTCGTCACTTGTACTCATGTTTTCCTCATCTTCCTCCTCACCTGCACCACCACTTGAAGAAACGAAGGTGAACGGGGCAACGGCTGGACGAATTGACAACGCTCGGATCTTAACCATTAGGTTCTAGGACAAAGTAGGGCAATTCGACAACAATCTTGTTTATAAAAGCCAATTTTAAAATGTTACCCTGTCCGCAAAGCACCACTATTTGGTTTCGGCTGAATGTAAATCAAGTTGTGATACTACAAATGTCATTGCTGTGTTTAATTAGTTTTAAACGTCTAGCAATTCACCTACATGTAAGTGAATACAACACGATCTAAGTAAGGACGATTTCATTTATCTAAAATTGAAATCTAAGGCTTTCGATGTTTCTGACAGTCTACATGACCAAGTAGCACAGCATATTAAAAAATAGTGGAAAATAATATTATGCTCTAAATTTACAAGGCCCCATTGTTTTGTCTCAAAAAAATCCCATAAGAAAAAAACATTTGTGGTGCGAGTTAGCCTTTAATTTACTCACATGAAACATTTGCGTGGGGGCCCAATTTCCATCTATTCTTATGACATGTGTACCAGGAAATTTGAGGAGGAATCTTTCAAGCGCTTCAGTGACGTGATTTTTGCTTAAGTAGAAAAGCCGATCGATTTCTCGTCGAGTGTCCTCAGGTCGCACAAGGAGTCTCTTCATGACAGCACTCGGGACCCTGGGGAACTCTGGATGCCAGGATCGTAGGTCTTCTTCCTCAGCGTTGCCGCCTTCACCCAATTCAAAATTCTCCTCTGGGCCTTTGGCCTCCTCTTCATCAGAGGGTTCGTTCTTGGATGTCGGCTTATTTCCCTCTTCCGACTTGATGAAGGGAGGAGGTGGGTCCTCGAAGTTGTAAACGTTGTACAGCGCACCGTCTTCGGGGTCGACGCGTTGGGACTCAATCCTCTTCCTCAAGTCTTTATCAGGTATCTGAAAGCAAATAAGTTCACGTTTAGGTACATATGCTAGTGCACGCACAGGTTTCAGTAAATAGTCATGCACAAGTATACGGTTAGGTAAAACCTGATCTCATGGGGTGATTCAAGAAATAAAGTATCTTTAGGTAATTAAAAAATTAAATTTTTGTTCAGTTAAAATACCATCTTACCGCAAAGGGAGGCCTATGAAATAAGTGGCCAATGAACTCGTGTGCCTTAAGATCTATAAGAAGGCACTAACTGCAACAATTCAAACGTAAGTCAAAAAGCAGTTTCTACGCCCGAACGTTTTCAATCCTACGAGAGGTGTAAGCGGCACGTAAGAATCAAGTTTTATAGTCAAAAAAATTGCACAGGATCTTCTTAAATCTTTAGGAACACTTTGTAACTGAGTGCCAGGAGAAATAGTCACATTTGAATCTGACGCGTCAATTTATTTAGGAATAATACACGGTGTCAATAGATTTATCCATGTTTAACATGTAGTGCTACTGACGGTGTGACGTTCCTGTTATGCGCTAAATTTTCGAGCGACGACAAAACCACATGTCCAATATAATCGTGGTACCACTTCCGAATCCCTCTTCATCTTGGAGAAGATTCAAAAAAGGCTGCAATGAATACATCTCTTCCTTTGACATACTAAATTTAAAATTAAGACACTAATGTACATTACTTAACAAAAGTTGCTCTACTAAAAAAAAGTGAAAGGAAAATGCGGACTTTATGTTTCTGTCCAGTGAGGCTATGTACTAAAACCTATCAGGTTATTAAGGCTATTTAAGGTGATTTATAATACCGTTCTATTTTGACATCGCAGGGTACTAATTTTATCGACTGTAATTGACTTTATTACAAGAGGAAACATGACCTGCACAAAAACGGCTGGGGTTTTTGAAACTGAAAGCAAACACTGTAATGAAGGATTCAAAATTTTAACGGATTAAATCTAAAGGTGATATTGTTTCTCTAATTTTAGTCAGGTTGAGACCTCAGATCCCATGTTTTCATAGGCAAAATCAATTCAATATTACAACATACAGAACCCATTTTGCTTAGGAACATTCTACAACTTTTGTTTCAAATTCCTCGTTGCTTGCGTTGACGCGATAATGATTAAATGGAATGCTTGACGTTGTACCAACGTGTGTTAACTCTAGTAGAGGCACCACCGAAAACGCGTCAACAAATATAGAAATGCTCCGCGATCAATCCAACGAAGCAATTTGATTTCCAATATATTATTACCTTCATTTTTAATTCTGCATTCATAAAAATATACGAGAATTAAGAGAAAGTAAGCATAAAAATTATACGCGGCAAAATTACGATGTGATTTTGAAAGTTTCTTGTGAATTTTTTTTATTTTACCTTTTAACCCACAAAAGCACAAACATTTAAAATGAGAATTCTACCTCGATATATACAATGTAGTCTGGCTTTAAAGCAAGACGTTCAACTATGATCAACTGATCGTCAAATCCCAGATAGGTTGGGAATCCATCTAAAACATAACCATAATGTTGACACTCTGGGGAACTAATAGCCCCCTTGAATAGTGCAACAAGTGTTTTGTCCGCCAGATTCTGTCCAGATAGTAATTGTTTAGAGCAATACTGGCCAAGAAGAGTGTTTTCTTCCATATTGCGCACAATTATTTCGGTAGCTGAAATCAAAGATAAAAGCATGCAAAACTGTAACCATTAATATATTTGCATCTCATTTCGCGAACAAGCTTTTTCGCTAAAGTGGTCTTTCCAGTTGAGGGATTGCCGACCACCATAAAGCATGCTGGTTTTTGCTGTAAAAAATATTCCCGTGCCTAAAGTAGAGCAAATGTAAATAAAAGATCCTACTATCTCACGGTCTGCATAATAAACATCTTTTGCATCCAGTAAACGCCTTGCTATTTTATTTTCTTTATGTATCACTGGTAAATTTTTATTCTTTACCCTCATCACGAAAATAGATGCAAAATATGTTAATTGTGCACCTGCGCCAACCAATGAGAAGACAGATGTCCAATAGAATTGAAGGAACCCAGTAGGTTAAATTGATTAGCGTAGGCACATAATATTTGGCTTCATTTTTGTGTTAAATCGTATAAACTAAATTAAAAAATAAATCTAAAGAGCATGAGAGGCAAAACATTTATCACAAAAGATGGCAACCAAAACACAAATTAATAAAGCAAATTAAAAAAAAGTGCAAATGTCACTTCGAAACCTTTCATTAGTACACTAAAAAAATTCATTAACAAAAAAACATTCTGTTTGAAGATGCTTTGTACCACGAAAATGACCAGTTATGTACATAATTTTTTCTCTTAGTCTCAAGGTCATCATTATCTAGTTGACCTTAAATTTGATTCCATCTCCAAATCTATCACTACGGCAACGTGCTTTTGTCAAGGTATATTGAGTTGAATCAACAAGTCTACAAGCACCTGATATAGGTCTCGCATTACCTTAACTTAAAAATGTTACATGTGTGTTTTTGTCTGCGTAGATTAACTCTAAGCGCTAGATGCAAAACATCAGTCGCATCTAAATAAAAACGTGGTTTATATTTTCATTATCAGACCAAAGTATAAGAGATAAACGCGTGCACAAATTTGGTCGATGTCAACATTTTTTGATCAAATTGCATTTTAATTCCTTAAAGATCGCCAATTTTCTTGCGTACGCTTAGTATATACTCGAAATCTTTTTTAAGATTATTTTTATAACTTGAAAAATTGCCCACTTACAAACAAATGTATCCAGTTTTCGAATATCACAATAACCTCTAGAAATTTGGATTTTGAGGCTTTAAGCTAAGCAAAGAATTTTTTGCGGTCATAACGGTTTTTTAATACTTGTTATTGATACATGATTTAAAGATGTGTATTTTATCATAAGAATGTGCGTAGTTGAGGCATTGGGTTCAAAATTAATAAATTGTGTCTCAGAATTAAGGGGCCCTACCGTTTAAAGTATTTTTAAAAAGAGATTACACCAGCATGCTAGCTTAAGTTTAATGTGCTTTTACTTGGCTGCAATACGTTTTTATTATTTGGCGTATTTCTATCGGTTGCACTAGCAGATCTCAACATAAAGTAGGCAGCCCTGTTTATGGCATATATTTTTTGAGAAACCAAATTTGAATATAATTTGTTATTTTTAACATTGACTTACTCGATAGTTAATGTAGATTCCAAGTTTTATGGGGCTATAATTTCTGACAAATTAGCAAACAAATACCACGGATTTTAAATCTGCGACTGCGTACATACAATGCTAATAACAGGATAAGTTAATTAATATGGTTTTATATTTATATGGTTATTTAAATTCGCATGGTTAGTATTTAAACGCATAATTAATTTTATTAAATATTTAGTTACAATTTGTTCACCTAAATTTATACGACTTGCTCGAAATGTTTGAATAATAATAGACAGATCCATGACCATATTTTAGGCTACTTTTAGTTTTCGTGTGTAAGGTGGGGCCGTAAATTTGTTCTGCATCAAAGTAGTAAGTTATGACGGCTGCTCCTCAGTGTTTTAACAATACTGCTGTAGAAATTAATACGTACTGACGTGTTGTACCAGTTGTAATAAACACGTAATTGTTGAACATTGTGGCTGGTGATAAGAGAATGCTTTCATGATATTCGCAAAAGTGAAATGTCTTTAGTTGACTCCTGGCAACTCAGTACATCGACACCGAATCAAGACATCTAATTGACGATAAAGCTTCTCCTGTGTATCTGTTGGGACATGAACGGCGTACCATTTTGTGAACCCCTGGAAACTCGTCGTCACATGGTGACGCAAATCGCTACAACCGACAATTAAACAAACTGAACGAAGAACCTGATATGAGCAGTGCAAATTACTAGTCGTTCTGCTTTCGCATGACAACGCTTGTCTGCCTCACGTTGCTTGCACAACCCAGAAAAGTCTCTTGAACTTGAGATGGGAAGTTCTCCACACGTGGCATATTCACCAGACTTGGTCTCATCCAACTACCGTTCCTTCCGGTCAAAGAAGCAGCAGCAGCAGCACGCCTTAGCGGATAAACACCCCAAAACGCTGGACGATGTGCGTAACTTCGTCGCTAGTTTTATTGCCTCGAAGGCTGCAAATATCTTGC